TGACATATATGAAATTGATATTTTAAGTTCTTACAACTATTAGATTTTCACATGTAAGTCTTTAAATGTATTTATTAGTAGTATTACACACTTAATAGCACGATTTAAGAAAAGAAAAAACAGTGTTTGACACTGTTGAAATATTGTTTAACATTGTGTCTCTCTGCCTTCAAGGTATATGTAGAATTTTTTCAATTATAAAAATATATATCTACAAAAAATTATAAAGTCTTTCTACAAACATTGCTTGGAAAAAAATGATTGTACTGGTAATGAACATTTCAAAATGACTGAAATGCTGCCAGTGTGAAGTCATGCAACTGAAATGTGTGTAATATGGTCATCTTGGAATTTTCCATTAGTTGGTTAGTTACTAAGAGGAATTAATCAAATGATTTAGTATAAATCTTATGGAACTCTCCTGTCATTCTGTTCATTTGCCCAGGCCAGGAAGTTAATAATTTGCATACGTAACCATCCTCATGCATTTTGAAGGGTCAAAAGGTCAGTAGATTCCAAATATATTTTCAGAATGTGAACTTTAAGATGTTTGTTGAAATTACAGTTGTTTGTAATAAAATATTCTATAAGCTCCATTCATATCACATTGTTGTGTCTGACAATATACCTGTATCCACTGAATCTTTTTATTTAAGTTTTTTGTTGTTGTGCAATCCACATAAATAAATCCTGTTTTGTACATTGGGTGGTGTATATTAAATGGAAATCAGTACATTATTATTATTATTATCATCATTATACTCTTCTCTTTTATGGAACCCTTTTTTTCTCTCTCTATTCAACTTTATTCACATTTTGAAACAAGTCAACTATTTTCCCAAAAAACATTACTTGGTAGGTCCCTGTTGTTTTTTCTTCCCATTTTTTGTGTATATAGATATTATTTTTTTTTTGTATTTTCTTTCTTTAACTTTCTGTTGTTATTGTGTGTCTGTATATATATATATATATATATATATACACACATACACTAACCCTACAAAAAAGTAAAGGGAGAAAATTAAAAAAATACCTATCCCCCCCCCCAAAAAAAAGAGAAAAAAAACAAAAAACACCAACAGGCATCTACCTTAAAACAAGTGTTCAATGCTTATAGTATAATGAAATCCCAAATGGGAAACCAATGAAAACAGAGCTGTAATAATAACAACCAAGAATACATGTAGAGACATCAACCTATAATTGTTACAGAGTTTTACATCAACCACAATCATCAGATGATTAAGATTAATATAAGATAAAGATTGTTATAGATGGAGAATTCATTACTTTTTCATTTTGTCATCTTTTTTTATTATCATGAGATACAAATGTTTACTGAAAAGTCCTTGGTCCAACCCTCTTAAGATCTGACCAAAAATCAATTTCTTTTTAAATGCCTTCTTGGTTGGGTTGAGAACTTCTGTGCCTTTTCATCTATCCTATATAAGATTCTTCTAGTTCAACCTTTTCCAGCAAAAATAAAATCTATTAAAACCATGTTGAATGATATTTTTTCTTTTCTTGAAGAAATTTAATTTTTAGCTCATTAAATAAAAAAAAAATATATATATTAACATTGAAATATTTTATGAGCTATTTTACATTTTAATTTAAAATCTGTTTATTTTCCATGCTTTTGTTAGAACCATTTTGTTGTTCTTTTCTTTAATTGCATTTCTCTCTTCACCAATCCTCTTTTCCAACCTCTTGTCATGAATTTCTGTGAGGCAGTAAATCTTCGTGACTTCACTGTGAATACCGACAGACTATTACCTTTGTCATTCAAGTCTCTCCAATTTTCTGTTTTGTCTTTCCCTGAAATGACTTTGAAATAGCTTTTGGTGATTTGCACTCTATTTCCTGTGCAAGTTATTCTTTGGCTACACATTCCTTTACATGCGTTTACTTATTGTTTGTGCTGTGCCAATGTACACCATTGTGAAGTAAATTTCTTGACTTTATCAGGAGACTACAGATTACAAGTCACTTAGAAATGCAAGGAGAAAGAAACCTGGTTGAACAAGTTATGGTCAGTATGCCAACTTAATATCAGCAAAATAATTTTTTTAAATGCTTGAATATTACAAGCTTTACTTTTTTTATATTGCAGTATGATTAGTTGCAGAAATGAAACAAAAATTAATGAAAATGGAAACAAAAAACAGCACTTATAGTTAAAATCAGAAAGTGACAGTTGAAATTTTGGGAAGACATAATGAGAAAAGAGGGCTTGGAGTATTTGACACTTACAGGACATATTTATTGCAAGAGTGACAGAAAAAAGTGGCTAACATCTAAGTGTGTGTCTATGTATGACAGAACAGACTGGGAGGGATGGAAAGAAAACAAATATTGCTGAGTGAGGAAAGCTAGGAAGTTGTGGAGAGTTATGATTGCTCACAACATGAAGGGACATAGCACATAAAAGATTTTCCTCTACAGATGTAGATGTTTCATTTAAGTGTCTATTTGCTAACAATGTATTTCACAGCTGCTTTTGTTTCTTGTTTTTTTTATTTATTTTTGTATTTATTTATTTTTGTATTTATTTATTTTTGTATTTTATTTTTTTTATTTTCCATGATTTAAAAAACCAAAAAAACCTGAAAAAGTCTCCAAAATGTGATGCCGACAGGACATATTGAAGGCAAGAAGGGGAGAGAGAAACAGTAGCCTACATAGCAAGCTTGAATGACAGAACAAGGAATAGGAGAGATAATGTAAAAAAAGAAAAAAAAATTAAGAGCTACAAAGGATAGGAATTTATGAAGTCATAATTGTCCATGCACTGAAGGGACACAATGGATAAAAGATTGTTTCAATATTAATTTATGATAGGTTTTTCTTTTCTTTTTCTTTTTTTTTAATCCGAATCTCTAATGAAATACTCTATGACTGTTAAAATTATATGAAGTTGTAAGAATAGCTTCCAAGATGACCTGAATATATATCCCCATATTTTTGATAGCTTTTCTGTCATATAGGATGCTTTATCATCAACTACAAAAAGCCTCTTGCTGGATTGTTTACAAATCTCCAGGGAAAGCACCAACTATCTGTTTCAAATCATTATGCCATAATTTACTTTTTATAATCATTTCACCCCAAGCAAGATGATAAAAGCCACTAAAATGTGAGGAGTGGCTGAAAATGAAAGAAACAAAGGACAATAAAAGAAACAAAGGACAATAAAAGAACAGTATTTGAGAAAACAGAAGGTAACAATTGATGTTGCATTCAAATTCCTGAAGATCATAGTTTCCAATTCTGAATCCATTATATCAGCTGCACATCCAAGCTTATAGTACTTGGTACTCCCAAGTGGTCACCCATCTGGGTAATGAACCAGCTTGACATTGCTTAACTTTGATGATCGTACAAGAACCAGTGTTTCAATGTGATATTTATTGAAAGCTATGATATTGAGTAAAGCAGTCATAATATTTAAAATAGTGTGAGCTAATTTTATCTATTGAAGTTTATATTTATCTCCTTTAGGGAGATAAATATAAACATATATATATATATATATATATATATATATATATAGGCATATATGGAGTAATGGATAGCGTCTTGGATTGAGGAATCGCAGAGCCGAGTTAAATTCCTGTTTAATCCATTACATTCACTACGTGCTAATACCCTTGGGAAAGGTATGAATCAACACTCTCCCTCCAGCTATGGGTAAAATAGCAGGACAGACTGGGTTCTATAGCCTTGGATGGCAACTGGTCGAGGAGAAGGACAACTCTGAATTCAAAACCTGCAGAGGGTCGTTTGGGAACCTTTGTGGCATTTGGTGCACCAGGTCTCTGTATTCATTCCTTCAAAAAGTGTGGATGATCATGTACGATGCCTTCACCACTATAATCAAATCTCATGTGCCGGTGTTGGGCTGTTGGTTTCCTGGAAACTGATCTGCTTGACCCTCATACGTCGAATCTCGACGAGAGAGTCGATTATTATATATAGGGTAGGAGAGTAAAGATTGTACCCTTTCCTGCATTTTTTTTTTTTTGCTTAAAAAAAAAAGAGGAAATTAGGACAGAAGATAATGATTGATATTGCATTTACATTTTCGAAGATAATATTTACTGGAAAGCAAGAAGTTGGAAGAGAGTTCCACAAGCAAGAAGTGCAAAAGAAACTGTTAGCATAGAAATTATGGTTACATCTAGCCATTTCAACTGTAAAATAATGAAACCTTGCTGCCAATCTTGTACTGTGCTTAAATTCATCAAGGCTAGGTACTATAGAGGAAAGCTCATCAGAATAATTACCATGAAAATATTTGTAAAAAAGGAATGTAGAAGCTATGTTACAGTGATGGGAAAGTGATTGAAGCAGAGATGCCAGGTCAGGATCAATAACATTACAGATTTTTCTTTGTGTTTTATCAAGAATATCTAAATACATAGCAGACCCATCAGACCAGATGTGATAGCATATCAGGAATGTGATTGCATATGTACATAAAATGCACCCTTCTACAAACACAAAATGATGTTTATCTATAAATTCACATGAGAATCTTCCCAAAACTAAGCACACTCTGATTCTGAAAAGTTTAATTTAGCATTGCATTCAGTAGTGATGCATATGATAAATGTATATATTGTTAGATTTTCACTGACCTTTGTACTTTCCCTTGTAGATATTGACTGATTACTTTGGTGTGGATCCAGTCATTTTTGCCTTTGGCCAGGAAATCTCATATTCCACACTGGAATAAACTTACTGATTTTATTGTTTCAAAAGTCTATCTGTCACATTTTTGTGTACTTTGAGCTGCGGCAATAGAAAGTAATTTTTTTTTCTTCCTCTGTATCCCCAAATTCTCTATCACTTTTTTTCCATTTCTTTCTTTTGTCTTCATCTATTCTCTTTTTCTATGCATCAGTTTTCTTCAATTCGCTCTCTACTCTTGATATATACCTTTCTCACTTTCTTCTCTTCCTTCTATTTGTGTCTTTCTTACACCCCTCATCTGTTCCATGTCTCTCTCTCTCCTTTTACTTGATCACTCGCTCTCTCTCCTGACACTTTTATTCTATATTAGTCATGCAATTGCCTGAAACTTACAACGAAGGAGAATCATTTTGTATGCTGGATGAGGATTTCTTTCTGGCACTTTTCTGATGTTTCTCCAGGTCTTTGGGTGTTGAACTAACCCTGCAAGCACTTGTTCTTTCTCACTACAGTTCCATTCCAATTTTAGATTTTCTTGTTCAATAGTTCTTGTATTGGGTTATATTTGCATTGACATTTTTCTGATTTGAACTCCTCTCTGTCAACACATTAAGATTTGTCATATTTTCAAATATGTCTGTCTGGAGGGCTTGACATCTCATTACAAATTTAGTTTACTGGTTAGATCGAAACAATCTAAAATTTTTAGCATCCCTCCACCATAAAACAAAGGAATTTTTATTAAATTTTGAATTAGACAAAACTTTTTCAACATTTTTGGGTTATGATGTTTAATATTTAAGCTAATTTTTGCATACTGAATTAGCTTTTTTTAGATTTTTTTAAAATCCAGATTCATATTCTGAGCATGCTTTTTTTACTATGTATATTTTGTAAATATCACACCTTGCTATGTTGTACAAAAGATATCATTTGGCAAGCCATTTAATTGCCTGTTCATGTCACCATTTCAGAGATGAGCATCAATAAAATTCTTTGTCTCCTATTTGAGGAAAAGACAAAATTTCTTGAGGATCTACCTCTAAACTGCTTAGTTTCTTGAATATAGTTTGGCCAAACATTGAAAAAACAAAGCATAATAAATTTATTCATTTATTATAATTATTATAATTAATTTTAAGAGATTAAGTAGTTGTTATGGAAGAAATAATTTTTGAATTTATTTTTGTTTTACAAATTTGTCATAAATATTGAATTTCATTTTAAGTTTATTGAGGGAAATGTATATTCATAATATGAGGCTAGATAAAGCAATGTAGGGGAGATGATTTCTTCTTGGTTATGTGAAAAATCTTCAGATGCAAAACTCAATGATAGCTGATTTTTCTCTCTTGGTTGTCTGATGATATTTTTTTTTCTCTTGTAAATAAAGAAAATTTTGATTATTCAAGAAACTTTGTAAACATTTTACATTTACAGGCATTTACATGGTTCTTAATCTTATTGTTGCCTGTAACATTTAGTGATGATATATTTTGAATTGCACAAGAATATTCTGTGAAAAGATTTGGAGTCCTGGTTTGGGGGACATTTCCTTTGCATAAATCATGACATCTTCAGGATACCACCAGGCAGATACAAAAATGCCCACTAGAATCTGCATAGAAGTACCAGAAGACAAAAACATGCGAAATCTATTTGACAAATGAAAATAAACAAGACAGAAGTCACAAAATACTGGAAATTTCTCTTCCATAATTTCATTTCCAAAATTTCTGATGAAGCTTAAATAAATGTGGAACATTTTAAATTTATAAATATTTTCTGTTTTTGCCTGAATTTCTTGGATGAGGAGTTATCATTATTTTTATATTTGGACTATTGTCCTCATTTTTGTTGTTTTTGTCACAATATTTTGGCTGTTGTGCCCTCCAATCTTCCTCAAGTGTAATCTCTTTTCCTATTTGTTCCTTATTCTATCATAAACCATAATATTATCAATTTATTTTTAAGAAATAAATTTAGCTTAGTTTGTCAACCAGGGCAGGATATTTTTCAACATGGCCAGTTGAATGAGAACTCTCTCTTTGTAGATTAAGCAAAGGGCTGGGTTTGAAATTCTCTGACGTTTACTCAGATCAGCAAGCACCTGATATTGGTTGTTTGGTACAGTGATCAAAAGGTTATAGCAACAGTGTGGACAAGTCTGTATATAAATGATAAATCTTTATCCCAGAAATTCATACAAATCAGGATGATATATTGAATCAAAACTATTAATCTTTGTTACACTGTTCCAACCATTAAGTGTCCAGACAATTATTTGAACACACATGAACAAAAGAAACACAAAATTGATAGGTTGTTTTTAAATAAAATTTTATCAATTAAATAAAGTGCACATTAAAAACCAAAATTCTCATCTAGTCAGATTAAGATAATCAACTTCATATTGATTATATTCAGTCGGATATGCAAATGGGACAATAGCAATAATCTTTTCAAATATCCTGGCTTAAAATCTTTCATATTGTTTACTTTGAAAATTATTGAATGTTCTTTTTTTTTTTCTTTCTGAATTCTTGAGAAAGGCACTTGATGCTTAGTTATCATTTGAGATTCTCATCAAAAAGAGACCTCCATTTTCTATTGCTGATTCCTCCATCAGGATAAGCCATTTTGCCATCATTCTCTTCGAACTTCATTCATCCTTAATCTGATAAGTCTCGGTAAGCATAAAACGAATAATTTACTGTATTCAGAGCATTAGCTTTTCGTTGTAATTCATTTCCCTTTTCAGAAAAGCAAACAGGTAAACAGTATCTAGCAAAGTAGTCTTACTACTTGTTAAAATTATATATATTTCACTTCAAGCATTATTTTTAGTGGATAGTCATATTTGAGGAAATGCTTCATTTATTTATTAAACAGTATTTTGTTTTCATCTGCCAGCCTGAATATTTGAGAAATCTTATTAAAGAAAAATGCCCCCTTCCTGACATGATTTGAACATGCATCCCCCTTTGCAGGAGAAAACATTGTTAAATCCAACATGTTTTAACAGACTCAATCACAAAGAGCATCAGAAATTAAGCAATGTTGTATACTTCATGGGTATCCACTAAAATTATATAGGGTTAATAAATACCCCCCATAAATAATAATAATATATATAATCAGTTCACCACAAGCAAGGTGATAAGGCTACTTAGGAGCTACTGAGAATGAAGACTTTAGAATTAACTGGAAACCCACTCCTAACAGGAAACAATGGATAAATTACTCTTTTTCAAAAAATTTTAAAATGGTATATTTCTAATTTTTTCTCTTTTGTTTTTATTATTTTTTAATTTTATTTTTAAATAATGGAAGTAAATGAGCTTTTCAGTTCAAATGTATCTGATTGGTCTCATGTTAATTATTTGTATCCACAAACAGTTTCTTGAAACATTTTGTGTATTTATACAGGCTTATAAATTGTGGGATTTTTTTGTTTTTTATGTAAAAAATTTTCTTCATCAAACAACTTTTTTATTTTTTTATTAATTTACGAGAACCTTAATTCATTGCTGATGGTGGTGGTAGTAGTAGTGGTAATAATAATAATAATAATAATCTATGTCAAATAACCTTTGTTTTGTTATTAGATGTATGGCTGATTGAAATAAAAAAAAGATACTTTACATATATTGTTTGTTAATTTCAGAAACATTCAATTGCTTGAAGAAACAAAATATAATACTTGTAAAAGATTTTTAATGTCTGATGTATCATTGTTATTTTGAGATATTTTAGAAATATTTTGTATTCTTATTAAAGTAATACTTTTATGTCCTTGTGACAGTTTCCAATAATTTAAAGAGTCTGTATCTAACACAAATATATTTTTTTGTTTTCATGGTTGTATTCTTTCTAAAATATGACTTCTTATATTCAAGTACCTCTTCTTCCATTGATGCCATGTTCACATTTTTATATTTATCTTCATAAAAGTGAAAGTTTTATCTGTCTTCAAACTCTTAAAGGATTCTGATATTAATTGGTATTTAAGATGATACTCAATGCAACTTGCTTATAATTTCAGTGTATGTAGTTTAAATTGGTAACAAACAGGAACGTAAGAATAATTTCTAACTCATTGTTTGTTTTGCACTAGTGTTTAGTATCAGAGAAGTGAAATTATTAATCATTTGTATTTAAAAATGGTTCACTGCTGGAATAGGGATTAGTAAAGAAGACTTGTAGTTTTATAATAAGTTCATATCCATATGATTGATCACTAAATCTAATTGAAAATATAGGATTATAACAGATTTTCTTCTTTTTCTATTGTGCTTTTTCATATATCACTTCTGATTATCAATGTTAAATTGATAAGATAAAAGATAATGATTTTTCCAGTTTACTTTCAAGTCTGTTGGTAAAATTGTAATCTTTGCCCAGTTTTAATCAGTTAGGTTCCTGATAGGAGTGCAGACACCTGTTTCATATGGGAACACTAAGTCTGTGCACAAATAATGCTAACTTGATTTTATCTGTCTATATTTCTGAAATGAGGTATTGTAACTATTTACACTTTTCAGACTGTTGTCCTCATCTTTGTCATATTCACAATGTTTCAGCCGTTGTATGCCCTGACCTTCCATACATAGCCCAGTGGATAAAAGCGTTGGTTGAAGTAATCCAGTGACTTGACCCAAAAAGAGTTGTGAGTTCAATACCTGGCAACAGCAGAGGTGAAAAAAAAACAAAACAAAAAACAACATCTTGGCGAGTTGAGTTACTAAGGGAAATAACTGAAGCTGAGACATCTGGAAGAGGCATGGCACATGGAATTAAAACAATCTACCTCCATGGACAAAATAAAAGGATTGTTTTGAAATTCCAATCACCAGAAGAAGGTCAAAGTATACAACAGCCGAAACATCCTGGATATGACAACAATGTAAATAGTGTAAATAGCCTGATCATGTGTCTTAGTTTTGGTTTTCTTTCATACCAAGTAGATTGTGCCAGGATTGTTGAAATAAAATTTGCTGAATATTGAAAGGTCAGCTCTTATTTGCATTTCAGTAGACCTTTTGCTAAATAACAAACACAATGGCAGTGTAATTCATCTTGTATTTCTCTTTGAAAAGTTTTGCCTGTGAGCATAACAGGGAAGAAAAGGGAAGGAACTGCCTTGCGGGGAAATGAAAGGCATTTGTGGGGGTTGATGGCTGACACTTTTCTGTTGTTGCATTTCCTGATAAGATTTCTACTTGCTTTCAAGGAATTCATTTTTGTTTTATATTTATAAGATTTTTGGATTTGGATTTTGGTGTTTCCTCTCTCTCTCTCTCATTTATTTATTATTCAGCATTTGTTTCAATTATATTCACTTTTTCTTTCATTCACTCCAGTCATTA